CTTAGCCCCCCCCCCCTTGCGTTCATTTTTTTCTGGACGGTATTGTTCGGATTTCGTATTTTTCCCCGCACTCATTCATTTCATAATGATGGTTAAATTATCCGGCAGTACCTTCCTATCATTATTTGTATCGATGGTGAAACTGCACAAATGCGTATTTCGGTTGCAATGAGAAGAAAAATCACTGAAATTTAAAAAAAAAAATGACGCCCAGTAGTTTTCTACGTAGAAAATGAAGTATGACAGGAAGTCTGCAACGCCTCAAATCGAGATACACATTTCCACTATTTCACCATCGACGTTGCGATGCACGATATTGTGCCCTATAACATGGAGCTCCAAGATAATAGAAAGTACTCTCTAGCTTGGTATGGCCAAATCACTTTTCAACCTATTTCCAAATCCATTTTCTCCCATTAGCTAAAAAACACCCTTATATACAGTCTTTTCAAAGCGTGCGACTTCTTTTTTTCTTTTAAAAATGCTAAATATATATGCAGTAGTAACAGTTACACAATTATTTTCCTTTAAAATTGACAGTTTTTTTTGGTGGAAGCAAAAACTATTTGCCTGAGAGATTTTTTAGATAATTTTCAAGGAGCAACATTTCAACAACACTGCAATCGCGCTGGTTACTTTTTGCTTATTGCGATCTAAAAAGACGCATCAAAACTTGAATGTTGTCCTCATTCATTCGCATTAACCAAGGCGTACTTCTGAAAATGGACTAAAGTTTTTATTTAATTTATTTCGTTTTGATTTAATATCTCTTTATATTTTATTTTTATTTTTTGGTGCTGCGTCACAGAGGATGGTATCTAATATGCTCGCTTGAGCCATGCTCTCCTCCAAACTGGCTCGGAGACGTCGCGCCGCACAATAGACCGAGTCAATGGGTGAGGTCGGACAAAATTTGGAAACATTAAAAGCTTATAACTCCACTTAAACACGATTGTGGGGCTCTAAAAGTGGTTCCATTTATTTCCTCGTGGAATATGATTCCGAAGGCACCCCTTGAGATCTAAAATGTGACGAAATAAACATAAAAATTTGCAGTTTTAGTCAAAAATTTCATGTCCGACCTCTCTAACTGACTCGATCCACTGTGCGCCGGTTGTCATTTGATTACGTGCGGAATATATCGAAAATCGCCCACCTGCAGGAAAACCCGGCTTCACGCTGCGGTTTTCCAGAGACAACCATCAATAATTATTTGGAAAACCACTTCAACTTGGAATAAGAAGAAGCGTTTGCGTAAAAGAATTTATGGATGTCTGTTTTTCTTAGTCTCCTTTAGGTATTAAGAACATTGTCGAGTCAAATAAGGGCAAAAAACGGTGAACCCGGAACTAATTGTATGTTTGAGTTTTTTGGGCTCATTTTATTCATGACATCAAGGCGAAACGAATGAACTAAAATTTGCCAAAATTCTCCCATAATTTGACCCCGAAACCCCCCCCCCCAAAAAACTGAAAATTGACCGGAAAAATCCACGAATTTTTTTAGTAAAATGCGAATGATCTCAGAAACCGCACCTCTGAGCATGAAAAGTAATAGGACTAAACATTTTTTGGGGGTTTTGTTGAGAGAATTTTGGCGAATTATAGTTCATTCGATTCTCCTTGATCTCCTGAATAAAATGAGCCCAAAAAACTCAAACATTCAGTTAACTCTGGGTTCAACCCTTATTTGACTCGACTATCTTTCTACGCGGCCTCGATGCGCTACCTGCGCCTCGAACATTAAAGAATAAAAAAAATCATCGTCGATTAAATTCAATCATCTATTTCCAACAATTGTTAGATTTCTCTGTGTAGTTTTCTTGCACGTGAATATAGGAATACTTGTTTTTTCTCAGTGAGAAGAGCGTGACAGAATCGATGACCATCCTTCCCGGATAGCCTTCCTGGTGCTGTAGAGAACTTCTCCACACGAAGAACAAACTCAGGCAAAGAGCTGATAAGCGTAGCCCCCTATTCCGCATGTACCTCTCTTGACGTAAATATGACCCTGTTGAAAGGAATTAAATCAATGTTTGTGCTCATCAAATGTACGCCACAAAGGGCACTCACTATTCATACTGCCGTGATTGCGAAGGGAGCCGTAAGTCTCAAATGCTCGAAATCGAGTTTCCAACAAAATTCTTCTAATCTTTATAGATGAAATCACTGAATTAGATAAAACAGCACAATTTGTCTCATTTGTATGAAAACGAAATGAGTGAGAGAGCTGTTTGTTCGTGCAGAAAAATTGGCGTCGTTTCAGACAAAACGGCCGTAAGAAGCGTTAGGTATAGGCACCTTCAGAGAGCAGTGCTTTCAAATAAAATGCCGACCTTTTCTGCCAATTTCTACATCGAGAAAAAAGATTGGTAAAATTTACCGTTCCTCATCGCTGTATTTCACGCAGCGTCAATTCAAAGTCAATTCTGCCAGAAAAAAGGTAAACGTTACTACTCGTATATACTGGTACATGTAACCATTCGCCTCTAATGACAGAATCGACTTTGAATTCACGCTGTGTAAAATACAGCGTGAAAGAATGGTAAATTATATTAATCTTTTTTCTCGGTGTAACCTGAAAATGTGTTTGTTGCGTGTCCAAAACATAGAGTACATAGAGTTGTAATGTAAGTGGGTGAGCTGGCGCCACTTTTAAGCATTTTCCAGGTCCCGAATTCCGAGACTCCTGTGTGACGCCGGGTCACTTTTTCGATTCATAATCGATTGTTTGCGATACACGGGTACCCGGCCATCTGATGTAAACAAAGAAGATGGGAATCACCACGTATTCCATACCGCCATTTTACATCGAACATGTATCGAAAAAGTGACCCGAACTCGGGGCACACCGGGCTCGGAACTCTTCGAGCAGAACATGGCGCCAGCTCTCCCATTTACATTACGACTCTATGTACTCTATGGTCTAAAACGAGCCCACGAAAGAATATAGAAGACAGCATTCACGGCTGCCTCGCCTAATACTAGCCTAATATGAAAACGAATAATACACTTTTTTTTAAAAAAAAATTGAAATAGAATTGGTCGATTTTAATCATCCAAACGATTTCTAAGAGTCTCTCGAGTGATCTGTGGCAATTTGACAAAGAACAGAGGCTCCTTTAAATAAAATTTCATATTCTCAAAACTTCATTTTTGCACTTACAGCTCTCTCCGCTATCACGGCAGCTTAGTCCTCTCTTTAACAACTCCTATTCATTCGGATGCCAAATGGACTACATTTGACAATTATTGAAAACTACAAATTCCAGCTCATTCAGGAAACAACATATGCACCATTAGTTTCCATCCGCAGATAAGTGCTTTTACGAATGAGATACTGTTTAGTTCCTAATTGCGAAATGTGCATGGTCCAAATGTAGTTTAAAATGTAGGGTTGACTGAATGAGGGGGTTAGGGATAGCATCACCCTCGTGAAAGCAAAATATCATCATGGTGTTTAAATGATCTTCAGAGGCACGAAGAGATTTTCAATGATCATCCCAACCTTGTTGCTGGATTGAGATGTGGGTAGTGTCTTTACCTGGAAACTCGCTTATTCTAGAGTCCCTTCATACTGAGAGTTAAGACAACGTGAATCCATTTCTGATTGGTTCCCGTATTTTAGGCCTCCATAATGTCACAAACAGGAATAAAGATTACATTTTCACCAATTGCAAAGATTGTAATCTGGAATGGACCGGGAAATTACGGGTTCGGCAAGGGACAAACGGAATGAGAGAAGGAACGGAGAAAGGGATTTGAGAATGGGCCGATCAAAGATTACGAAAAACTTTCTAATGGTGTAATCTTTATTCCCGTTTATGATTCCATGAGGGTGGGGGGGTGTGTGTGTGTCTTAACTCTCAGTATAAAATGACTCTAGCTTATTCTGGCCCGTTTCCAGGTTAAGAAACAAAAACAAACTATATTTAAATTTGATAACACTGTGGGGATAATTATTGAAGATCTTTTCGTACTGATAATCATTTGAATATCACGATGATGCTTCGTTTTCATAGAGGCATGAGATTGACTGATTCGCGAACAAAGAGTGAAATCCGAGAGTAAAACTTTGGGAACAGATCAGTGGCATGGCGTGCTTTGCAATTTATCCATTGATCTTTCATTAAAACCTACAGAAAAGAATCAAAATACACGGTGTTTGTATTACAAACACCTTTAATAATTATCGATTCTTTACCGTAGCTTCAAATAGGGAAATATCGATAGTCGATGTCTTGCCACTGAGACAGGTCCTCCCATAGGGACTACATTGATTATAGACATCACAAGATAGGTAACTGACACACAATGCGTACTGACGAAGGATATATTTTTCGCCTTTGCAGCCATTTGATTTGGTTTTTTTAAAGAATGGATGTAGCGTAATGCTTATAATTAGATTTTCTCGCTAAAAGCAGTTTAGCTACAAGGACCCATCATCGACTAAAAATCTTACCTGTTCTACCCCCCACTTAGTACCCCAGCTGTTCCGTATACGCCAGGCATCTAAATTTCAGAAAAATAACGCAAAGTTAAGACGTAAAAGAAAATGAGTAAATGTATGGAAAATTGCATTACCTATACTATGATTAAAACAAGAAGCTTAGTAAATGTATGGAGAATTGCATTACCTACTATGATTAAAACAGGAAGATCATACCTGCTAAGAATGAGGGAGGGGGACTACTAAGGATTCTAGAGTTTAAACATTTTTAAACTGGCAAAAGGAGGAGGTTTCAATTTACCAAAAGATCTATTGTTGCTGGGCTAGGATGGGGAAGATAAACAAATAAATAAAGTTTGGCGACCAAACTTTTTGTAATAGTGTTTTATATTAATTTTTATTCGGTTATATTTTCAAAAATGTATAACTGTCGTGCTGAGTCATTCTACCGCGACCACGCGGGTTTTCCGCAGGTAAATTCGGCAAAATCGCGTTTTTATTTGCAGATCCGCGGTAAAAATCACAAGTTTTTCGTAAAATCGCGGCAATTTGTACGCACGGAGCTATACAAAAGTATTTATTCGTAATGCCTATGAAAGAAGGAGTTTTTAAAATGGGAGGGTCAACTTGAAAAATGGGAAGGCAATGATCTTTCTGTATCCCTGCACCTCAATACAGTCGAGAGGAATACAGATAAATTATAAGATTTTGAAAAAAGTCGCCCAAATGTGAATGTCCGTAAAAGTGGAATAAAATTGTTTTTCCCATAAAATACGCGTGTTGAGAGGACACGACGGCAACCAATGAGAATGAATGGTTCATCGGGCGCACACAAGTCTGTAACAAGTCTGTCGGAAGAAAATGGATATTTTTCTTAGAAACTACCTATTAGTAGGAACATTAGACTTTTCAGTCTTCATTTTCTGCCTTGAAGCGGTGGCGGCCAAAATGTATAAAATGACGACATATCGATGGTGAAACTACCGGACCACGTACCTTGGTTTGCGACGTTGCATAGACTTCCTGCCATACTTAATTTTTTAAAAGTAAAAATACTCAACATCAATTCTTTAGAGCCTCCATGATTTTTCCTCTTTACGCGATGAAATCTCGGTAAAAATTTCAAGGAATGATATTGGTTTGTTCCCCTTAAAAAATATAAAATGGAAGCGGAGATTTTTAGACACAGCAAACGAGATACGTGGTCTGGTATAGTTTCACCGTCGATATTCTATAGCAGAATGCCGGAAATTCAGATAGTACATCCCATGGTTTCTGCCGATTTGGATGTTTCTATCAAAGATGAATACAAATTCGCACTTGTTCCCCGACTTAAAACTCGGATGAAACCAAGTTGGGCAGAACCACACGCCACCGGCCACCACGGTAGACGACGCCATGCGCCGTGCTTTTTGTCAGGCGATATCCCCTGGTAAAAATTGGCAGTAGAATGTGTGTTCCAAAACACTATAGACCTAAAGCCGGCTGTAAGATTTCCAATAGTTTCTGTAGCCGGCTGTATAATTTCTTATAGCCTTTTATAGCCGATGGCGATCAAGCAACAGCCAGACGATAAATTTTATGCTTAACGTTACTAAATACGAATACTAGGACTTAGTTAGTTTTTGGACCACCGCTCTCTTTTTGTGCCGTAGTATCTTGATTTATTTCGCGAGGAAAGCTCCGTACTTTTGAAGGATGCCTGTCATTCTAAATATGTTGGAGCACCTTCAATTTCTTATGATATTGTGCAATATATCTAGTGTGAAATAGTTGCCTCAGATGCCGTGGCACGCTGCGGCGCGGCGGGCGGGCAGAGAGCGCGAAACGCGCATTGGCGCCTACAAACCTAACAGGAATACTTCACGCATTGCGCAATGCGTGAAGTATCCCTGTTAGGTTTGTAGGCGCCAGTGCGTCGCCGCTCCGCTTTGTGTTAGGCTCTAATATTTAATCTCGTGAAGTCAGCGTTTTTCAACTCATGATTTTGAAATGTTTGCACACTCTGTATGGATTATTCTTAATTTAATTGATGGAAAAAATATGTTTTAAAGAAAAATATAATGTGTGTTTTGTAAATATTAAGGTAGCTCCTATGAAACTTAATGATTTCCGAAGCACACGAATTTCTACACAATTTCTTACAGCCTTTTATAGCCAATGACGATAAAGTGTAAAGCCCAGCGATAGGAACTATAGCCCGACTGTATACTTTTTTATAGCTTCGTATAGCCCGGCTATATAATTTGCTGCGCTTTCTACAGCCAGCTATATGATTTTCAATAGCCTTCTTTAGTCGGCTATAAGAACTCCTATGGTATTTTGAAACGCAGCTCCTATCGCCAATTTTCACCAAGGTCTCCGTTAATATTGGAGGGGATAACTTGGTGTAAGGACAGCTCTTATCATTTTTTGCTGATCTGTAATCTAAAATCATCGAAACACGATTTGAGAAACTGGCCTGTTGGTAGTGCCGAGAACTTTAAAAAGACAGCACTTTAATAAGATGCTTACCTCCGCACAATCCAACGATAACCACAGCATGGTTTGTTTCATTTGCAGGGCAATATTTAGAGATCATAACACCGCCGACGTACCACTACAAATTAAAAACAAGAGGAAAAATAAAACGCGCTTTAGCGGCATTGGACAGCTGGTATAATCTCCAGGAATAAAGAAAAAAATCAGTAAAGTATACTTTAAAAAAGTGAGAGTTCCTGTTTACATTCGAAGAAATTCGGACTACATATCGACGGCGTAAGTCCGCGATCACATATCTCGTTTGTGTTGTCTGAAAATCTCCGCTTCTATGTTATCTTTTTAAAGGAGAACAAATTGATATCGTTTGACGAAAATTTTTCAGAATTTTCTTCGCACAGAGAAGAAAAGTCTCGGCAGTTTTAAAGAATTGCCATTGAGTAGTTTTCCGTTTTAAAAAATAAAGTATGACAGGAAGTCTGCGACATCGCAAACCGAGTTATGTGATTGCCGACTTACACCGTCGATACATCATAAATGAACAAAGCCACGTTGGCGTAGTTTAAAGACGATTAGGATTGTTCTTTGGGGAATGCACGAGGTCTTTTTGCGTATGCACATACAAAACTTTGAAATGGTACTCTGAGCTCTCAGTGCAGTCACGTAGGGGGCCGGCCCCCCCGCCACCCCTATTTCCGCCCATGGTCTTCAAGAATCATCTTCCCTCTAGCTTCAAAGATGAGAAATGTAGAAAGTTTTTTCCCTTTCCTGAAAAATCGCGTTTTCCGAGTTATGCGATTGCCGACTTACACCGTCGAAGCATGAGTAATACTAATTCTGAAAATCAAGCTGAGCCCCCATTTTTACGAAAACAAATCATTTACGACCGGATCTGTGAGAAGGGGCCTCATCTTTCGAGAATAATTTTTCTCAACTTTTTGTAAATGCATGTAGGAAAAAAAATTGAATATTTTGGCGCTAGTTTGACCCTAAAATATCAAAAATCGAAGAGGAAATTAGTCCTGGAGTTCCTCGACAAAAATCAGGCCATAGAAAAAGATGGTCTAAGTGTTTGCAAAAAGTCAAGGAATTTTTTTAACCGATCTGGTCTTATTTTTTGATTTTTCTATTGAGTCACTCGCTATTTACTTTATTCATATTACCGGAGGAGCCGTCAACCGAAGAAGTGTAGATTTCTTTTTCACCACACTGTTAAAAATCAATGATTTACTCTGAGTGAACAGCCGGCGTGAAAAAAAAACCCAGCGTGAATTTCGCGCCGCGCTCTGAGTGAAAAGACCAGAGCGTGAATCACCAACGACAACGAAGGACGAATTAGTTGAGGTACCTCAAGTAGCGTGAATGGAGATGTTGCATGTGTGAGGGATTTGCGATTTGACCATTGATTCTTATGTAAAAGTTCGCGAGAAACACGATGGTGCCACTGGTTTTCTGAAATCAACCCCCAAGCTCAAAAAAAGCTCTCAAAATGAGGCCAAAATGGAGGGGATATCCCACCCTACCCTGAGAGTCCACCTCTACATCAAGACAAACTCTTCATGCAAAGATAGGGAGCAAATACATTGGCAGGGTTGCCACTTTATTTGGGGACTCTAAAACTGAGAACACGGCATCACTGCTAAGGTATTTGGACGTATTTCTACCAAACAGCCCTATGTGTAAGTGAGAAATATGGGGTGTGCTCGTTAGTTCTCTTTGCGTAAGAGTGAATGAGAATAATAAAGCGCCAGTGACGTCAGCGGCAACGAAGGAGCTCCGGAACGACGGGGGGATCGTTGGAGGGAGTCTTTAACTCATGAGCCCTGTCTACAACGCTCTCTTGCCATGCCCGCGGCTCATGACTCCCGCATTCAGTTGGCACATAGGTCTCTTTGATAGAATGTAAAATCCCGCTTTTCCAATTCTTCAAATGGAATCACGCCCACTTTTACATTGCTTCTTATGCAGCTTTCTAGAGCACACCCCATATTTCTCACCTCCACATAGGTCTGTTTGGTAGAAATACGTCCATTTGCTCCCTATCTTTGCATGGAGAGTTTGTCTTGATGTAGAAGTGGACTCTCAGGGTAGGGTGGGATATCCCCTCCATTTTGGCCTCAACTTGAGAGCTTTTTTTGAGCTTGGGAGATGATTTCAAAGAAAACCAGCGGCACCATCGTGTTTCTCGCGAACTTTTACATAAGAATCAATGGTCAAATCGCAAATCCCTCACACATGCAACATCTCCATTCAACGCTGTCTGTCATGAGCGTCGAATGGCAAAGTGATAACGCACTCGTCTATTACCGCCGCGCCTCGGGGTCTTTTCCATGCTAACGGCAGTTCCGTTTTACTTTATGCTTGTTAGCTTTTCACTCCGGCCAGAGCGCGAAATTCGCGCCGGATCCATGCACTCAGAGTAACAGGTGGTCAAAGTAGCAACTGAGTAAGCGTGAATTTCGCGCCGGGATTTTTATCAGTGCATAAATATCCTCGGATTGACTTCCAAGCACTGTTGCATGATAATGTTAATTACACGGACGGTACTTACTTGCATATCATCATTACAATTCATCGCAATCGGAAGTGGACTGGTCGGAAGAGCGGCGATTAGTTTTGAGTCAGTACCTGAGACGTCTTTGAAAGATTTCAGCTTTTCTATCACCGTGAATTTAGACTTGCAAGTGCCATTCTTAGCTGTGTACTTATAGTCCTTTTCGGCGCACAAACCTGGGTTCTCCATTACTTTGAAAGCCGGTTCAAACCAGCCACCCTCACACATGGCGTTGTCTTTTGTACAATCTACCAATTCTACGAAGAGGGCAGAAATCAACCGATCAGAGGACTTGGTATTTTTGAAGTCGCTGCGCTTCTAAAAAATTACATTGGATTAAGTTTGTTCAAAGCGTAAGTAAAATTATTTGTAAAAATCACCGAATTCTACTAACTTTTCCGCCATCGGTAATGCATTCCATTGCAGATAGGAAAATGATCAATTCAGGAAATGATGCAATTTTTCCGTTTAGCCCACTAGAAATCCAAAAGTCTCTTAGGCGTTAAAAAATGATTTTTTCCGCAACAGGTTTGAGCGAACTATGCGGAAACGTTCTAGACCCAACGTATTTTGCTCCCCCTTTAAAAACTTTATTTTCAGTAGGGACTGGAAGAGGAAACCGTGGTATGCCTATTCTCCTATCTTCTTTTTCTAAACTACATAGTTGGACGTATTTCTACCAAACAGATCTATGTGGAGGTGAGAAATATGAGGTGTGCTCGTTAGTTTTCTGGCCGTAAGAGTGAATGAGAATAATAACGCGCCAGTGACGTCAGCGGCGACGATGAAGACTCCGAGCCGCGGATCCGCATCTTTAACTCATGAGCCCTGTGCACAAGGCTCTCTTGCCATGCCCGTGGCTCATGAGTTCCGCATTCAGTTGGCACATAGGTCTGTTTGATAGAATGTAAAATCCCGCTTTTCCAATTCTTCAAAAGGAATCACGCCCACTTTTACATTGCTTCTTATGCAGCTTTCTAGAGCACACCCCATATTTCTCACCTCCACATAGGTCTGTTTGGTAGAAATACGTCCAGTTATATCACTTACATCACCTTACGGCTTTTTATAAAACGTCGAGTCTCAAGCCTTCTTTGCTCCTGGGACATCATACAGTTTCTCATAAGCCGATTGAACTTATGAAAGTTCTTAGGAGCCAGATTTTTTCCAACTCATCCTCCGAGCTCTGATCCTAAAGTGCAATCCATCCCTCATCAAGAAACATGTTTTTTCCCCCTTCCTTTATTCTTTTTTGAACTCCCAAATTGGACTCCGTTTGCATGAATACGTCTAAGTCTAGCTTTAGGTTTGTGGAAGGAACCATTCGGTATACCAGTTTTAATGTCTAACCATCATTGAATTGAACGTATTTATGCTAAAAGGAACTATGTGCATACGGATTGCGTGTGACATACTTCTTTTTAGCATAAATACGTACAATTTACCTTGTTTCGACAGCTTAGTCGTTTTCCCCGATTTAGAAAGCAACACCTCAAACGCGCCAACCGATGCAAATGCCCAGCAGGATCCACACTGTTTCTGCAAAAAATTATAAAAGTACGCATTTGCATAGGGAAACTATTGCCACTTACGTTCTTCCTTAAGTGAGCCAGATACAGTGGCTCTTTATTGCAACTAATATAGTCCAGTCAGCGGGACGATTATTGAAATTTATAGACAAAGCTGTAGACAAAAAAGTCATAGGGGGTATGGAGCGATCCCATTGGTTGAAACTGGTGATTTTTACAGACTTGGAGGGAAGACGATTGCCTAATGCCGGGTCTCTTGTCGGTTGCCGTTAGTTATAGTCTATTACCTACCTCCTTTGTCCATTGCAGCCACCCGCTTCCACCAATAGGATCCTACCATATCCCTTTTGTTTTCTTTGTCTATAGCTTTGTCTATCAATTTTAATAATCGGCCCGCAGGGCTTTTATTTCAACTGCAATCCTGTGATCAACTGCCACTTTTAGCCTTGAAGAAAACAAGAGCATGGGTTGCATTGAAACACTTCAATACTGCTGTGTTGCTTTTTACTGGCATGTTTTAATGCAATCAATTCTGTAACACTAATATCCTGTAGTAAAGTAGAATGCTTGGAATAAATCGGTGTTGCAAACTCCCACTGCTCAACCATTTCACCTCCTTGGAGGTCCAAATATCTGTATCACGCGTTACCGTTAGTTAGTCTATTACCCAACTCTTTTGTCCATTGCAACCACCCGCTTCCACCAATAGGATCCCTCCATACCCCTTTTGTTTTCTTTGTCTATAGCGGTGTCTATCAATTTCAATAATTGACCCATCCAACTTTTCTACTTTGCGTTAAAGTCTCTGTGTCCCGACAATGGTTAACTGTTGAGAATATAGCTCGATTTTTAATATTTTAATGATGACATGACAAACAACGTTGAAGAAATGGACGTATTTATGCTAAAAGGAACTATGTGCATAGGGTTTCCGTGCAACATAGTTCCTTTTAGCATAAATACGTCCAAATAATGATAATACATACCGGATTTTGTGCGGTTTTTTTTTTTTTTTTTTTTTCAAAAGTAGAGAGGGTTAAGTATAGCTGGCAATGACCCTCCCTGCCCTCCTTGTATCGCAGCATAACGTAGATTCATACCCCTCCTCCCATCTAGAGCCTTAAGTAATTGATGAACGCTCCCTAACTCATCCATACCAACCGACTAAGAAATGCGTACAATTTCACGAAGATTGTGAAGATAAAAGTGAATTTCAAACCTTTCATATGCGCTAACATAGAGATCTTCGAGTCATTTTCCGTACAAAACAATTGCGTGCGCGATTCGTCATCATGGAGGTTTTCTTGCCCGATCCCGGAAGGAATATTCATTTATGCTATAGGTACCGTGCCGAGGAAAGACGCTGTAGGAACCTTTGTCGGTTGCCATAGTTCCGTTGATTAAATACGGATTTTCCGGAAAACTTGTAAATATTTTCCGTTTAATTTTCCAGAGAATTGTTTCTTGTAATTAAATCTGAACTATCGGAAAATCGCAAGAGAAAATATTCATAACCCTCCTCAAAAATGAGCATTTGATTGGAGGAAATTTTGCAACCATAGAAAGTTCAAACGGCGCACAGTGGATCGAGTCAACAGGAGGGATCGGAAAAAATTTGAAACCTTGAGAAGCTTATAACTCCATTTATACAAAGCTTCGAGGTTCTGAAAGTGGTCCCATTGGTTTCCTCGTAAAATTCACCTCTAGAAGCAACTCTTACAATTTAAAATGTGACGAAATAAACATAAAAATTTGCATTTTTAGTCAATGATATTATGTGCGACCTCTCTGATTGACTCAATCCACTATGCGGCATTTTCGGAAAAACGCCGCAAGAGCATTCGAGAGTTGCCAAATTTCCCCTCCGAAAATATTGATTTTGAGACAAATAATCAATATTTTTGCTTGGAATCTTCTGATACTGTAGATCGCATTGCAAAGAAAATTCTCTGAAAAATTGGACGGAAAATGTTCGCAAGTTTTCGGGAAATTCGTATTTGATATATAAATATATCCGCTTTTATAACGCTCTCTGGCGCTCTGCGACACCTATATAGTCGCTAAAGTCCCCTATCCTCTCAAAGCCCTTCAGGGAGTTGGCACACCCTCATTTCTTCTAAAACCCCCTGTCGCCACCCTTTCACTGGGCGTCCCCTTCGTCTCCTCCCAGGAGGTACCCAATGAAGCATCTTCTTCGGCACCCTAAATTCGTATTTTACTGAAATAAATTTTGCAAGGCACAAAGGTTCATACGGCGTTGGCAGTACAGGTTTTAGGTTACCTGATCATCGACCGAAGGGTAATTGGGGCTGATCTTGCGCCAGTCGATTGTACATGCCTGAGGTGGAGGGCCTTTGGTGGGTGGTGGGTAGGTCGTCGTCGTCGTCTTGGGCTTCTTCGTGCTTTTGAGCAATCCAAATCTTCCATCTCTCCCCTCCCACTCTTCCTCATCTTCCTCCTCTTCTTCATGATCAAGTTCTAATCTGGTCAAAAAGTTCTCCCGCCTGTCGTCGGGCATCCGGTAAGTAAGGTACGTCGCCCTAAACTCTTCTCCTGTCCACAACCAAAAACTCCGCTTTACACAATGGATCGTGTTCGATACATCAAAGAGGTGAGATTGTATCGATATCCAGTGGCGTGGCGTGCTTTGCGGTATATCGATTGATCGGTCTTTTAAACCCATGGAAAAGTATCGATAAACAGGGTGTTCGCAGCGAACACCTTAATAATCGATCATTGACCACGGCTTCAAATAGGGAAATATCGATGTATCGCGAAACACGCCACGCCACTGTCGATATCCATTTGTTCAACATGTAAATGTCGAAGGCAATTAGTCAAATCAGGCATTTTATCAAATGCCTAGGCCGGTAGTCCAATTTTTTACAGTTTACGGAATTCTGTAAATTTATGGCGAAGAGTTCACGGATTCTCAATATTTTGAGAAAGAATAACTTTTCAAATTTGCGAACTCCCCTTGTTCCGTCCTTTCTACATGCCTTCAGTATATTTAAATGTTAAAATTTTAAAAATTCTATGTTTTATGACGTGCTGAAAATTTCATGATAAATTTGCCCTCAGAATCTTAAATCTATTGCTCCCGCAGCCCTTGAAGTACCATTACAAATAAGACAAACAGAACCAACGCGACATGGAAATAGAGCGAGGAGAATGAAAAAAAAAAAAAAAACCTGACACTTCATTTATTTCCTTCTCTCTCAATCCGATGCCTGATCCTTTTTTTCCTGATGTAGGTAGTTGTAGCCTTGGATTTAAAGCTCGTATCTACCGAGCTCATATGTTCACGTGTTTCGAGCAAGCCCCGATCAATTTGTTCCGGCTTCAGCATTTGAGGGTTAAAAAAATAAGAAGGGAACCAGTGGCGTGGCGTGCTTTGCAATCTATCGATATTTCCCCGTTTGAAGCTGTGGTAAATAATCGATTATTGAGGTGTTGCGAACACCCTACTTATCGATACTTTTCCATGCGTTCAAATGGCCGATCAATCTATAAGTCGAAAAGTACGCCACGCCACTGGAGGGAACGTAGATTTCCCAACACCGCGAACGACATACTTACGTAGTATCAAAGTTTCACCGTCGATGTGTAATGTGTGCAGTGGCGAGGCGTGAATGATCGATTATCGATATCTTCCCATTTGAAGCTGTAGTGAAGAACCGATTATTAATGTGCTCGTTGCGAACACTTATCGATCCTTTACCATAGGTTTAAATGGCAGATCAATCCAATTATAGCATAATCGATGGAATGGGAGCCGATGTATCAATTTAGGCTACGTCCGCCGACTCAAATTTTCAAATTCAGAAAATTCAACTTGAAACGCATCATACCCAAAATCTAAGCTCAGATTCGGCTTCCTCGTAAAAAATCGATGCTATTTCATGTATCATATGTTACCATAGCATAAAGAAAAGAGGGTAATCGTAGGCGTAAAGATTCTAACAAAGCCGGCCGGTATGCGGAAGTAGGCACAGAATTCAAACGTTTGAGCTACGGCGCCAGGCGCCGGCGCCAAGCATTTGGTTTGTCCGTTTTCGAGAAAACAAACTTCCTCTTACTCATCAGCTGACCCACTCCGAATCACCCATGTTGCCACGTCGGACTGATATGTTAGAATCTACACGCCTACGTTAATCTCTTTCCTTCATGATATGGTGACAATTAATACGTGAAATTGCATCGATTTTTCACGAGGAAGCCGAATCTGAGCTTAAATTTCGGATATTATGCGTTTTAAGTCAAATTTTCTTTTATCTATTTTAAATCACTCAGGGAAATTTGCGGAAACTCATTAGAATAACAATGTGTATTCTTTTAAAAACATTGATCAAAAATAAAACAATGACGGTATTTGAATCCATTAATCTCGGAGATAACTTGAACACGGTTGTTTTACGACTTTTTACGTATGTTGATGGTTATCCGCGCACAGTCATTTTTTTTCCGTGTTGAAATTTGTTGAATATCCTGTTGAGGAATTCCTCTCAAAAATTCACGTTAATTCAACCTAAAGTAGTTATTCAACCTACTTGTTAAGTCCGCCATCACGTTGACACCAAATATTGCTGTTTGCTCGGGATCAGCGTTGAGTTCTTCAATTTTCTTTAAATTGTCTTTGAAAATTTCGAATCTCCTCATTTTCTCCTCCAGTGAATCGTATACTTTCTCGTGCTCGACCATGAACTGTTCGAATTGTTGCATCAAGGCAAGTTCCACAGCTCCATCCTGTATGCAACAATAAAAATCTGATATAACCCACCGCTGCCTAAATAAATTACTCAGTTTATTTTCTGTAGATTCATTTTAGATGAAACAGCTGAGGTATTCACGGCTCTTCTTGTGTACATTTTAGAGATAAAACATCAAATTAAAGTCCTCGTATAAGGGACCATGAGGCAATATCACTTCGAGCTCATGCTGAGGCCTATCCTCGAAAGTTTTTTTTCTTAGTTAAGCCTTTTTGAACGCACACACACTATTGAAAACAAGGGCGGATTGGATCCAAATTTTTCAAGGGGCGGGACCCTCCAAAAGTGGATTTGTGGCCCTACTAAGAAGAGGGAGGGGGTCTGAAGGTCCTCCTCCAAGCAATTTTGGAAATAGCGCCTCACTTAGTTCGCATTTTAAGAAATTTTTGGACGATATACCAATAAAATGAGAAATAGAAGTTAAAAAACAAATAAAATGTTATATGCTATGAATGCTATTTTTTTCATTATTTTCCAAAAAATGACAAGGAAAAAAGCAAACAGCTTGTGCTATGAGAGAAGCAAATACAGTAGACTCTGGATTATCCGGCTTCGTATTATCCAGACTCTGGATTATCCGGATCGATTTTGCAACCATGTAACTACGTACGCATTCCGATAAGTGAGCGGATCCGCAGAGAAGCGGTCGCAAGGAATATTGGCGCCTGCAAGGCTGAAGGAATACTTCACGCATTGCGCCAAACAGTAAGGTCGGCGTGGAACGCATTAGTGCCTACTAGATTGCATAAATACTTCTCGCATTACGCCAAACGCAGTGCAGTCGGTTAGTTAGCCTAAAACGCACATTAGCGGCTACAAGACTGCATGAATACTTCATGCATTACGCGCTTTAATCGTGGTATTGTAATTTATCGTTGTCGGCTACCATTCACAATCACCATTGAGTCGTTAAGTTTGGCGTTACCTAACCTTTTAAATTCGTGTTGGTATGTACATGATGTATACATAATAAGAATACTGTGGTGTTGGTCGGTGGTGTTTGTGTTTACTATTATTATCCGGATTTCTTTTTCATCCGGATCGGGCCCGGCACCAATTAATCCGGATAATCGAGAGTCTACTGTAAATGAAAATGAGGGTCATTCCGTCCTAGTCTAAAAGTTCAAAAGTAAGCGGTATCAGGGATTTATCAACGGAGCGGGAGTTATTTATTGATATTTTTTTTTTTATTTTCAACGGGTTTGGTGTTTAATAACAACAATCATTCAAGTTCTTATCTGATGGGAATAGTGAAATAAAACTCAGACGAGTGATTTTTGTTTTCTTTATATTTCAGTGCTTCATTCACTAGCTCGAAGAAAACTCACTGAAATTTTCAAATTAAAACGCCTAACAGTATCCTGAATAAAATTAGTGAATGGGTCGAATTTTGCAACATTGAAAGTTAGTTACGTTTTTCCGTCTGAAAGACGACGAAACGTGAACTGAACTGCCCGCGCAGCTCATTGTATATGTTTGTGGGGTGTTGGAGACTGCTGGTAAAAAATAATTTTTTTATTATCATATTATCATATTTATCATGTCATATCATATCATATCATATCATATCATATCATATCATATCATATCATATCATATCATATCATATCATATCATATTTATCATTTATCATATTTTATTATCATATTTGACTTGTGGCGTCCACCCACGTAGTTTCTATTAGAGACTGCTGGCCATCGAAACTCTAATTGTAATTTCTCAGAGCTTGACTTGACAGAAAACACTCATCGAAATTTTTGGTCCCAGTCCTCGTGGATGCCTACAAACTATATTGAGCAGACTTTTTGATGGAGTGAGTAACCATTGAAATACGTACTTGTGATTCTACTTCCACGCCCTTGAATAAGCATATCAATACAGCCGTCGCAAAAACCTGGACAGAGCAAGAACATGGATGTAAAAGTGAGAGTGATTAATAAATGTGAATATTGACATGATCATAGGCAAACAAGAGAACTTATTTTCGAAAACACATATTTTCAATTGCAGTTTCCAATATTTACGTCGCAATTTCGAATGAATAAAATCATCCGAATGCATTCTTTGAACTCTTGCAGAACATTCTCCACACATGCAGAAAATAAAAATGCGAAAGCTTTCAAGTCTTCACACATGTTAATCATGCATACTTTACCAATTTTTACTTGCAGCCAAGTGCAGCCTTTGATATTTCAAGAAATGCGTGATTTTTTAAAATCGCGTGAGACCTTATGATGGGAGGGAAGTTAATAGTCAGTATTTTTGATACATAAAAATTAGATATTAATAGTACATTTTTCACGGGGTATTTTTCAAGACTGGATTTAGTTAAAATCATTAATATCCCTATTTGTTAAAAAAAATGCAGGTATATGCCTTGTCCTCCAAGCCCCTTTCTTGAACTTAACCCCGACCACATGAGGAAACGTCCCCTTATGTGCTTTTACGCAACTTACAAAACGCCAGAAGAGTAATGAACAAGCGTAAGTCATCATGGTTCGCAGATAAGCCACAAATCAAAGGAGAGCAGTGTCAGTCCAGCAGAAATTTCGAATTCCGGGATCGCACTAAGACCAAGACCATTCTTCTCTATCGTGTGAAGCACGATTAACTCCCTAAGCAGGCACCGAGTATGAATCTTCTAGAAAAATGTCTAAATGGTTTGCAAATTGTTGTTTCCGGTAACTTTCCTTTCTGCGGGAACAGAAAGAAATGGGTACTAGATCATAATTACCAGATGAGGAGCTCGGAGGACAAGGCGCATAAGTGCAGTTTTTGAAAAAATTGAGATATTAGAGATTTGAATAAAACTATTCTTAATGCATAATCTGTGAAAAATTCGCTCCACAATTTCAATTTTTAAACATCGAAAAGTCAGTTTGAACTTTCTTCCCGTCATAAGGATCCATATAATTTCGAAACTTCAAATACGTATTTCTCGAAATAGCAAAAACTGCACTTATGCGCCTTGTCCTTCAAGCCCCTCAGATGATGTGTGTTTTTCTTCCGGTTTTTCACGTGTGTGTTTAGCTCCTCCTGTTCTCAACACTTAATTATCTTCGACTTGACGTTTGGTTGGGTAATAGGTTATCACCGCTTGGTTACCTGTCGTGGTTTCTTGCCCGTTGATAAACTCACATAGGGTAGGTGGGGGTAAGTGTACACACGCGGTAAAAGTACGCACCGCACTTTTTTCGTGTGCTTTGTTTGAATTTATGATGGCACCGGGTGTTGGTTGTTGGCAACATTGAGTTTCACCTGTTGACAAAGTTTTGTGCGGAGCGGATGTGTTTTGACGGAATTATGAGGCAATTCACTTTTCATGCGAAAAAGATCGATTTTTTTTTAGTGTTTGTATTGTCTGTTGTGAGTAGAATAGTTGATGGAAAAAATCGGACAGGCACCATATCAAAGTGTTATAGTGTTGGCTTCAATAATCTATAGTTGTTTTCACACCTTCGGCTTTGGGCCCAAAGTTTTAGTTTATGTTGTCCAATGTTTACAAATGGGGCAAGAGTACGCAGCTAGAATGGGGCAAAAGTACGCGCCCAAAAGTGGGGCGTAGTGGGGGGGGGGGGGGTTGTATAGGAACTTCAACATAGAAGATGTAGGCAACTCAGCAGGGCCGGATTTACCTACTTGCCGCCCATGGGCCGCCTGTATTTTGCCGCCTCCTTCTCATTCGCACTGGAACATCAATAAAAAATATCAAGTGAACGTGCCAGCGGGAGAGGGGTGCATAAGACGCGTTTTCTCGTGTTGAACACATTTTTTGGTAACGCCCTGTCAACACTACAAGCAAAAGTTGAGTTTTGTAAACCTATCTCTGTGCGGACAAGGCTTTCCATTCATAAGAAATGAACGAAAAAAGTAGGAAAGAACAAACATGAATGTGGTTTAATGATTTTAACTTGCGCCGCGCAGACCGCACCGTGTTTGGCGCAATGTAAAGTCTTGTAGGCGCTATGCGTTTCACGCTGACCGCACTGTTTGGCGCAATACGTGAAGTATTCATGCATCCTTGTAGGCGCTATCCGTTTCACGCTGACCGCAGTGACTGCACTGTGTTTGATGCGATGCGTGAAGTATTCGTGCAGTCTTGTAGGCGCTAATATGTGTTACATGCCGATCGCCGCGGCGATGGCTTCTCCTTTTCATCTCAAGTCCTCGTCATCATTGCTCTCTGCGCCGCGCCGTTCCAGGCCAAATTGAGTGTTTGGTTTCTCTCTTAACTCGACTGATTAAAGGTGCTGTCACTTGTATTACTGAAAGACGACAAAATTAGAAATTACTATACTCTCAGGAAATGAGAGATTTTGTAGCCTTTTCTCGTTTGTAATTTTTTTTCTAAATCCGATTTTTTTGTACTTACATTTAAAAAAATTGCAAAATTTGCCGCCCTCTAGATTTGCCGCCATGGGTCGCGGCCTATGGGGCCACCCCCTTAATCCGGCCCTGCAACATAGTATCTTATTAAATTTTTATGTTCCTTTCTTCAATTTGGGCAATTAAACTTTGTTCATTTCCTGTTTGAAAAGAAATTGACTTCGAAAATAATTTGGAAGCTTGTGGAGACTGAATTATTTATTTTTTTTTCACAGTAAAAGTGGTTAGGCACTACTGGAACCCTTTGAGACCAGTTTCAGTCGTTTTCCGGGATGTAACAGAAATTTGGAGCCCAGGAGATTTTTTTTAATAAAAAATTGCACCTGCGCACTTTTGCCCAATTATTAAATGGGGCAAAAGTACGCATTTTCAAATCTTTTTTAAAAAATTCGTCACGGACATGGATTTGATTTCTAAATTCGGACAACGTAGGGCACTTGTAGGTGCCTGGTCACTTTTCCCGCCTTAAAAGTCGATACGGTCTCGGAAATACAGGAAAAACCAAAAAATGCTTACTTTTACCCCTACCTACCCTACACTCATCGAAACACAGTTTTAAGGAAAACGTCAAATCAACGGTGTAAGTCCGCAATCACATAACTCGGTTTGCGACGTCGCCGACTACCTGTCATACTTTATTTTGAAACGGAAAACTACTCAACGGCAATTCTTTAAAACTGCCGTGATTTTTCTTTTCTGTGCGAAAAAAATTATCCAAAAACTCAAAGGAATGATGTCAATGTGTTCTCTTTTGAAAAAATAATATAGAGGCGAAGATTTTAAGACACCGCAAACGAGTTATGTGACTGCCGAATTAGGTACACCGTCGAAATTATACTTGTACACGTTCAATTTTTCCCCGCTCCCCATTTCAGTGGCGTGGCGTGAATTGCGATATATCGATTGTTATGTCATTTAAACCTATGAAAAAAGATCGATTATCAGGGTGTTCGCAGCGAACACCTTAGTAATCGATTCTTTACCATACCTTCAAATGGCGAGATATCGATAATCGAATATATTCACGCCACGCCACTGCCCCATTTCTTTGCTTTTTAACTCTTTTCATAATTATTATTTTCTTAACAGTATATTTTTCCCATAATTCATCTCTCTCCGATGGAAAATGATCCAGCAGCAGGGGCGGACTGGGTACAAAATCGTTGGTTGGGCGAAGCTGGCACAGGGGCCCCAGGGGGGGTCTGGGGGGACACCCCCAGCGCAGAGGGGGGTCCAGGGGGCCTCCTCCGGAAAATTTTTCAAAAAGAGCCCCTCCTAGATCAAATTTTAGGCGGTCTTAGCTTAAAATTTGTGAAAAATTTGAGTGTTCAAAAGTGATGCACTTCACCTATTTACTGTACTTTTTTTTTGAAACTGAAGCAAATATTAAGGAATACTATAACAAAGATGAGAGGACAGAGCCATGAAACCTGAAACTTAACAATATTTTAGGGTAACAAACAAGCAACTTTCCTCCCCCTCCCAAATTTCAGAAATTTGTAATCTAATTGGTCGCATTTTGAGGCAGATTTTCCATCAATGTCTGCAGAAAAATTACGTTTCCGTTTTGACTTTCAGCAAAAATGTATGTATACACTCAAAAAGATCCTGAAAATTTTTGAAATTTTAACTCTATTTGGACACATTTCGAGGCTTCCATGACGCAGATTTTCCATCAATGTCTACTGAAAAATTACGTTTCCTTTTGGAACTTTCAGCAAAAAATGCATAAATACACTCAAAAAGATCCTGCAAATTTTTGAAATTTTAACTCTATTAGGACGCATTTCGAGGCTTCCGTGACGCAAATTTTCCATCAATTTCTGCAGGAAAATTACATTTTATTTTACTTATACACGAAATACTTTCAAATTGTTACATTCAACAAAGCTGGAAAATTTTTGAAATTTCAACTCTATTTGGACGCATTTAGAGGCTTTTCTGACGAAAGTTTTAGAAATGAACACGGTGTTTTCATTTGAAACTATACATTAAAAGAGATAAATATCTTCGACGGTCTCAAACTTCTTCTTTTCTCGCACTTTCTCATCTTCTGTCTCCTCTTTCCTTCTCTCTTTTCCTCCCTTTTTTTTGCTTTCGGAGGGCGTTTGAGCCCCCGAAGCCCCCCCCCTCCCCGTCTACAGGCCTGGCGACCGCAGCCTGATTTTGTCTAATTGCAAGTCACTAGATAACCATCTGGGCGGTCCCCTCCTCATATTCCTCTTTCTCTATTCTCCAGCGCTCCCTTAATTTGATTCAATCCATCCGTGGTTTTTGGAAAGATTTTCTCGATCCTTCATAGTATTTTATATTCATCGGGATCCTCAAAGTTCTAAGCCGGTTTAAGAAGCTAAAAACTATAGCCCCCAACTTATATCACTGGGGCCCCTTGAAGAAAAAACTATAGTCTTCGAAATGCGGGCCCCCAACTTATATCACTGGGGCCCCTTGAAAAAACGAATGTTTCAAATGGGGCCCTAGGAGTCATAGGTCAGGTCCCGGCGCTTTTGCAACAGCCTGAACCATCTCTGGTCTCCAGTCAAGTGCGGAGATCTGCGTTTTTCATTAGGGCCCCTTTCATTCAAAAGTCCCGGGCCTGGGTGCTCTTCCGAATTTCAAGGCCCATTGCACTCCTTGCAGTTCAAGACTGGGGCCCCAAGGTTACCTTCGAGGCGCCAATGCCGCTCATTTTGAAGTCTTACACATTTTCTTTTCCCTTGAGTGAAATTTTGTATATTCTTTTTAAGCCCTCGAGGGGGCCCCAGAGAGGTTTCTAGAGAATTGATGGTTGGGGATCCCCAACCGCCCACCCGGGCCAGTCCGCCCCTGGTTTTGGTAAAAGAGCGTATGAAACTTCCAATGCTGCTAAGATTGTGCAATGTAGTTTTCTAGTTGATAGTAACTTATCCGACAGTTCTTTCATGAATTTTTCCTTGAATCTGCTCCGAATTTTTTCGAAATAGCATATCACTGGTAAAAAAAACTTATTTGTTCAAGAGTGCAGTTTCTTGTCACCGGATTTAAGAGCCTGGACTCTTGTTTCAATGCAAAATCCGCTGGAATCAATGCAAAATCCGCTTGAAACAAGAGTTCAAGACTCTTAAATCCTGAAAGAAACTGCACTCTTAAGTCGATGCAATGCGGCATTGGTCCAAGAGATTTTTTTTACCAGTGTAATCTTAGCAGCATGACAAGCCTCAGACGATCTTTTACCGGAAAAGTCCTCCTTCACAAGATTCTATGACT